CTGCAACTTTGCAGGTATAGCAAAACAATATATATTTCCCAGCGGCATATAACATAACAAAAACAACGTTGGTTGCAAAAGCACTGAAAATGAGAAAACAATGCAGAATTTCAGTAAAAATAACCCCCATGTACAGTAGTCAACCATGCAAAATATTAAATAGAACTATGGTACATAATTACATCAGGCATTTGTATTCTCATTACTGTAGACAAATAAATTTATGAAAGAATAGGTCCTTGTACTTATTGGAAACATCTCTTACTCTATCACTGTTACTTTGAAACAGAACACAACAAAGCTGCTTCTTACACACTCTGTTACGATAGCAAACACGGTAAAGCGTACTTCGGTGGAAAATCTTGTTCTCTTCTATTACTAGGCTTGGTATCTCTCAGACCTATACAGTTTCTGGCACGGACAGTATCAGCAATAGCATTGTGTAAATATATGAGGTCTTCCAACCCTATTTGCAGCCTTTCTATTCCATGAAAATAGGTGTTTTCAAATTTTCAAAATGCATTACTTTTTCACCAGTCTGAAACAATAAAAGGATACACCGAACTAGGCTGTACACGTGTTACAACAGACGTCAGTGATGCAGTACAGTGATCTGAATGTCATAACTATTGATGCAGCTTAGATTTGGTTGGGACAGTCTATTCTGTAACTTTATGTTTTGCTTCTATTCCACTTCAGTCTTAATGAGAGAAAGTTACACTTACATAGTTCTTTTCAAGACACCCAAAGCACTGTAAAGAACCAATGGGGAGCCACATCACACACCCTGTGTGGCCCCCACCTTGATGATGCAATGGCAGTCATTCTGTGCCAGTATGCTCACCATACTACAGTAGCTAAGGAGATGAAGGGGCAGGAGAGAATTCATCAGTTAGATATATTGCATGATTTGGAGGCCATCTTTTTTTGAAAGGGACACAGTGAGCAATTTTAGCCAACATATCATGGTACCACCTCTACTCTTTCAGAAGCTGCCCATGGATGTTTTATCACCTCAGAGGGGTCAGGATCTCAGTTTTACATCTCATCTGAAGGACGGCACCATCTTTATAGCACAGTGTCCAATTCACTGCACTGGGATCCACACTGACTACAGGATGGGCTGAGGGCCCCCCCCTAACTCTCTATCTCTGGCCCTGCGCGAGTGGGGTGGCCCGCCGGGTGGAAGATCCATCATGGGGTGGTTCAGGCAGCCCTGGCCGGTGTGGGCGACCTCCTCTCTTGGGCTGCGGGCCGGGTGGTGCTTGGCTCTGCTGTGCCGTGTTGGGGCCCTGGCGGGCAGTCCGGGGAATCTTGGGACGCTCTGGGCCCTGCCAGGCGGATTGGGGGGTTTCGGTTTGGGCTGGGTGGGGGGTCTGCCGCTCCCCGGTCGCTGCGGGTCCGCTCCCGGGTGGGGGGGGGCCCTCTTTGTCTATATGGGCCCCCCTTAGATCATCCTGCAGTGTCGGGGGAGGGATGTGCCGGGTCGCTGCGGTGGGCGGTGGTCTGTCCTGCCGGGGGATGGGCTGGGGGGCCTGGGGCCCCTTGGGGGGCCGTCCGCCGGGGGGGGGGGGGGGTGGTCCCGGTTGGTGGGGCCCTTCGGCCCTGGACCCACTTTCCTCGGTAGGGGGAATGCAAGCGGGAACTGGGGGATTCGCTGCCCGTCCCCCCTCTGCGAGCCTCCCTGTACGGGGGTTGGCGCCCCCTTAGTCCCTCGCAGGCTCCTTCTCGGGTTGGGCGGGTGGTTGTCTCGGGGATGCATGGCCTCAGTTGCCTGGTTTCCCCTGCCTTCGCCTTGGGCCTGGGGGGTTTGGGGGGGGTGCTGTCACTTCCCCTGACTGCATCAAATGCCAGCACCAATGACAAATCAGTTCACACCTACACTTGCACATACAAGAATGGTTGAGCGATCAATATCATTATTATTATTACTTTTTAGTGTGTGTTATAGATATAGGAATTGAAATATACATATATATGGGTAGGATCACGTATGTGTGTGCTACATATATATAATACATATATATAATACCTATTTGTAACATTATTAATCATTATTATTGATATTGTTGTTGTTATCATTTTTGTTGTTTGATGTCCTTAAAGTAATGAGTGTTATGTTTCTTATGGTTGTTTGTATTCTGTATTCCCCTATACTTCATCTTTTTTCCATCCCGCCTACATTATTAGTGTTATTATTTCTGTATACCTTTGTTTCCTTTTTTTTTGTTTATTTTTTTTTCTCCCCATGGTGATTAATGTCTGTTATTGTTACGATTGTTGTTTCTGTATCTCTCCCCCCCCCTCCTTTTTTTTTTTCCTTCCTTCACGGTACTAGGACGGGTGAGTTCGGAGTGGCCACACTTTTTGCTCTTGAATTTAATGTAAAATAAAGTTGTCCTCCGAAGAGGGGGGGTGGTGGTGGGCAATTAAAAATAGAAAAAAAAAAAGGATGGGCACTCCTGTTGGCCACGCCAACACCTCTTCCAGCAGCAACCCAGTTTTCCCAGTTGGTTTCCCTTCCAAATACCAGCCTGGCCCAAACCTGCTTAACTTCAGATGGATTACCTTGCCTGAACTGCAGGTGTTATGGCGTCTGGCCCAAAATCCCCTCCACTCATCTCATCACCTTTACCACCACCTCTACCAATTATTGCACACTCTTTGAGAGCTCACCTGAGTTATATTTTCATGCATGTATTCAGATCGCATTCATGTTTTCTTATTGGTCAGTTGCACCATAGAACATTGTGTTAACGGTTAGTATTTTAACTATGACAGCTGTATACTGGGTACATTTTATCGCAGTTACACTGTCTTGTATTGAATGCCAGTGCTTATTGCATGACAGCCTCAGGTTAATTGTGCTTTATGCTCAGAGGTGTGCAAAAAGTGCTTAGGAGACTTGATAATATCTGTGTATCAGCTGATTTTGTCTAAAGTTTTGCCAAAAGGGTTTAGGTGATTGTTTAAAGGGTAAGTTTTTGTATGTGACTGAAAAAAAAAATATTTCAAATGTTCAATACAAACATGACAGGCTTGTTTCATTCATATACTGTTGCGTGGAAGAATACAGCCTATCACTGCAGTGCTGACTTAATCAATCCCTGGAAAGATATCTTGATCATTGGTTATTTTAGCTTGTATCTCTTAATCAATTATAATCAATGACATTGTTAGCTAGAGCATGTTCACCATCAGAGCATCCTGCTTTTCTGTCAGCCGCTATGATCTGCCACTACTGTGTTGTCATGTCTCAGTTCTGATACACTAGAAATAGAATAAAGTCGTTTCGGATTTCAGTCACCAATGTTACAAACCAGGAAAATAACTCCCTGTGACATGTGATGTATGCAGAAATGCCTCACCCAGCTCCACACATGATCCACAAGGTACAAGCAAAAATTAGCGTATGACAGAGTCCAGCATCGCAGTGCTACTTTACATACTGTACTATGGTAGCCATGGGTGTAAATTATGGGGGATGGGGGGTTGTAATCCCCCTCAATAATCAAAATCAGCCAATACAGTCCCCTGGACCCCACTAAATGAATGGAAACCTCAACTCCCCAATGTTCAGCCCAAAGCTATACCATTCACAGCAGCAGAATCAATGCTCTTCTTGGTATATTCTGATTGTAGAGTCTACAGTGAAATAACTGATATTTAGTTCTACTCTTTCACCAGCTTCCTTCACTGACATTCATGCACTAAGACCATAACACATATTTCATCAAACACAAATAGTTCTTATTGACCTTCTTCTTTTACCTCTCCATCTGTTATGATCCATTGCTCCAATGCACAGGAATGCACTTATCCCTACTTATTCAGTCTGAGCTTGTGATTGGTGTGTGTTCATTGAGCTTCTTAGTTGAGTGGCACTACTCTCTGAACAGGCACATGGTGCATTTTAAGCTTTAAGAAGGAGAGCTTCTAATACAGAGCAAAACAGTTTGGACAAATTGTGCAACTAACCTTTAACCTGTGCAAACAGCTGAAAAGTGTTCATATTTTAGAGAAATGTGTCAGCCTTGAGGACTGACAGAAAAGATTTCTTTTCCACTTTTTGTGTGTAAGCAATTAAGCTGATTCTGGAGACTGCTCATGTGTACCACCTAATTGTCATCGGTTAAGTGCATGAGCAATAACAAAGTTGCATTAATTTCTTTTGATATGACCATTCTTCCTTTTCCTTGCCCATCTCCTTTCGAACTTACTTTTTCTCTGCCGTTCTGTCTGTTGGTAAGCTCATATTTTAACATCAAAATTAGACTTATGGGTCGTATTTCATGACAGCAGCTGTAGCGATACCCACGTTATCTTCAGCTATTTTGCTAACTCATTAGCTACTATAGGTTATTAGAAACAAGTGTGAACAATTTAGACTGATTGCCTTTAAATGATGGTGATTGTGATATTGGTGTTGAATTCTGATGGTCTGTGTTTTGCCTCTCAAATCACTGTACATACTAAATGCAAATATGAGGATAATTGTGTATTTTGAATGACACTGTGTTCAGTTTTGGGGAAAAAAGTAAAGCAGTGGATGAGTGCCGCAATTTGTGCCTGACTATGTAAAAATTATTTTGGGGTTTTTTGTTTTGATAACTGAAGTTAGGCATTTGAATGTTTTGTTTGCCGCATCTGATTTAGTGTGTTAGCAATGCAAAAAAACTGTAACCATACATGGTAAATACTGCATGTTATATTTTGGCTAAAGTAAAACTTGATATGTTTTTGTTGAAGCCCCAAACCAGTATGGATATAAACTTGATAGAATAATAATTAATAAAAATCCTACACTGTAAACCCGGATTTTGTTTCAACATAAACTATTTAGTAATGATTAATTATTCTTTCGTGTTTTGTAAAAAACAGTGTCTAATTACTAAACCAGAATAAGCTGTTTGTAATACTTTTCAACATTGTGCAGTGCAATAATCATGATTAGCAAAGATAACTCAGCATGTTACGTTACTGTCAGAGGGGGCGGGACTCTTTTCAAAAATCAACGCGTCTCGAGTCACGAGTTCACGAACCGCGCTGAGGAGTGAGCACTGCAGTTTGTCTGGGCGGGAATCTGAAGAAAGCTGGTGAGTGTTGAATTTTCTTAATAAAATCTTAATAGAGACTTAATAGACCCATAAGATCAGTCCAGATAAGCTAAACACTAACCTCAGCTATGTCTTAAGAAGACGGTTATCTGTCGGTTCAGTCAGTGTTTACAATAACGTGCGTGATTGCATGAGCTTGTAGCTAATGCTAACCGCAAGCTAGCGGGCTATCGCGGTTAACCCGTGTTTGGTGTCAGAGGTGATTCTTGCATTTATATCGATACTGTTAATGTAACTTTGCAAAGGACGCGACCGTTAGCAGGGCTACCATGGTAATATTAGTCGGGTGTTAACACGGTGATTCGTAATTTACCGGCTACATTTGTTTGTTAGTTAGGTTAACGTTACTGCATCTTGAGCTAATAGAATAGTTTGCTCATTTTCTGTTTTGTAGGTTCTTGTGAAGATGCAGTGGAAGTGTAAATACTATATCTAAACTACCCCAAGTCTATGAAGCTCACATTTCAGTTCATCCAACAGGTTCTTCTCACGTTGGGTCACAGTGAACTGAGACCAAGGCTACAAACACTGAAAAACCAGCTTGAAATGTAAAGAAATGTGTCAAGTATGCTGTGAACAGCCATAATTTTATTATTTTCAGTCACTTTCAGATGTGGCCAAAGTCAAGGTGTTGAATGTAGGTTGTTATACAGTTTGGTGTTCTTAAAGGAAGCCTTTGCTATACAAATAATTTTTTGCTGTGCCTCTTACAAATATGCAATTGTTCAGAAACGAGTTTGTTGGGGGGGTTTTTTGGGTTGTGCAATACTGCAGAATTATTTTGCACTATTTTGTGAAAAAATGTTTTCTTAATATTTCAATGTTTTATTGCTTTTCTTCCATACAATTTTGTTTAAAGTATTTGTTGCAAAAATGGTATTAATTACATTTGAGGAAACCACATTATTTATATTAACAAATGAATATAAGTAGTGATAAATACAATGTGTATGTAAGTTTATCTTAAGATAGTTATTTCAAATAACTAATTTTCTTTGCATCCCCAAGTTAAGTGAACTAATCATTTTTAGTAAAGACTAATGATTGTCCAAGTCAATACAACTTAATCTGTTTAGTTTCAGAATGTGTAAAAACTAAAGTGGTTTAAGGGGAATGGGTTTACACGCGAATTTCTAGTAAATTTAACTAATCCGGGATTACAGTGTACAAACTTTTAGATTAAGATCATCAGGGGCTGGGTCAGTTTATTTTATTATATTGCAGTAAATACAATGTGACACAGTGGTTTTGTAGTAAGCGTTATGCATTCTTAGCTCCAGCCAATAGCCCCACAATGTCATGAAAACTTGTTGTTTTGACCTTGTGGGGACATTTTTGTCAGTCCCCACAAGGCGAAACTCAAATTTAAAAAACCTGTGAATGCAATCAAAAAACTGAATATTCTAAAAGTCTTGGGTAGGGGTTAAGGTTGTCATTGTTGGGATTAGGGTTTTGCCCATAGAAATGAATGGACAGTCCCCACAAAGGTGTGTGTGTGTGTGTGTGCGTGCGTGCGTGCGTGCGTGCGTGCGCGCGCGCGCGCGCGCCATATGATGAACGGGTGTCCCTGTCTCATATCCTGTGTTACTTAGGCTAGGTTGCAGCTTCTCTGTAACCTTATTCTGGATATGCATGTAGCAAAGATACATCGTGCACAATGAGTAAATAAAGCTTTAATAGAGAGTTGAAGTATGCCCAAAAGACAAGGATTCTGCAGGTAATCTTTAATATTTTTAAAGCATATTCGGCAGGTTATTTCTTTTTATCTAAAAGATTGTTTGGATATGCATTCCTGCATTGGTATTAAAATATTAAGCTATTTCAAAATATCAGTGTTTTTCTTCAGAGAACTCGTCAGCACTTCTGAAAAGTAACTATTGAAGAAGGGGGAAATGGCAGTATTTCATCCTCAGGGAATCCCCACTATCCCGGCTGGTAACCATTGGGTAATAAAAAATTGTTTCGCAGAAGATATAGAGTGAATCCTGCACATCTTAAATAGTTTGAGAATATTAAAGTTCATGCGGCGAACTGTGTAGATTAAAATTCAGTGAAATGTACAATTCGTTCTGTTGTTAAATTAGAAATACTTTAGCATAAGTGTCACACGAAAAATAAATGCACTTCACAAATTTATGTAGATAATGAGGGATAAGAAGAATGGTCTCAAGCTCAGTTTAATAGCAGTTCTCTCAACTCACAATAACAATGCTGAACATCCCTCTCAACGCCTGCTCTGACCTATCGTAGCTTCTTCCTTCATTCACCTTTCTTTCCTTCATCATTGGCCTTTCATGAATTGTTTAGGGATACAGAGGCCACATCAGCTGGGGTGTGGACTGGCTCACCCTGTAATAGTCACTGGAAGGGTGAATACAAAAGTAGCTAAGGACGTAGGGTTGACTGTTTCTAAATCTCCACTTTAGGCCCATTCCCTGGGGCCTCCGGGACTTCGGAATAGAGCAGGGCTGCCAACTCTCACACATATGACATGTCACTCATGCTATCTGACTGTCACACATGCAGAAATTTTGTGGCAAATCTATATTATTCCACTGTAAATCTAAAATTAGCTACATCAAAAGCGGCGGGGCAGTTTGCCATCCCTACAGACTACTTACAAGGTAAGTACCTACCTGTAAGTGCGTGTGCATTTGTGTGCTGACTTGTCGTGAATTGAAAATCACCGAAGATGGCAGCCCTGTTACAGACATCTCCAATAGGGGGTGGTATTGTGCACTCTGCCCTGTATCTTTTGGGTAGATGCTGAGTGCCTCTCTCACCATACAGTAGGTCCTGTTTAGTCCTCTACAGGACCCACAGAAGAGTGAGGTTTGCCTCTAACAGGGCTGACTCAAGTTGTCCTAATTTTGCTAATAAAACCTTATACTCCAAAGAAGCCTGGACCCAAGTCTGCCAGAAGAGTAATTACTGTTTCATATACCTGAAGGTGTCCCTCTTTCTCCAGTCTCCTGTTATTTTTAGGAATGCCTTTTCAGCCCCTGCCTTTCATTCCCCGTTTCTTTCCGCCACTGACCTGCCACTCAGGTTCTGCTGTTGATGTTCTCTGCACTGTAGTTCCACCATTATGGCCATCTGCTCTTCATCTCAAAATCATTGTTGCCAGCCAACTGCTGCTCTGTTACACTTAAGCAGACATTCTAAAGTGCTTGTCCAGTATGTTAAAGATGGATAAATGGTAATAGACTGAAAAAAATAAATGAAAAGGATCTGTTCTGTAGACAGAGACCAGCATTGCTGCACCCAGCATAGTTTCTTTAAATGTAATGCACATACACATAATGTATACTTCCTCCTGCTTACCTGTAGGCACAAGAAACAGGTTGCAGGTAGGTCAGAGGTGTGAGAATATCAAATAACCTCAAGAGGACTCTCTTCATCAATCACTGCTTTATATCATCTACAATTTATCTGTATAGTCTGCCTACAGAGGTTCAACAGAGTATTTGTAACATTTCAACCACTTAGTTGATAATTCAGCTGTTATTCCTACAATAAGTTAAGTAAATAACATCTGAAGGTGGACTCTTCAGATAAAGTTTTTCTGATCTACCTTTTATACTAATACCTGTGTGAAGCTGGTTGTAATGCTTTTAAAACTCCAAAAATGCGGAGCACAATCAGCACCACCCAAAGACTCCCAGACACACATAGGTAAAATGTAGGTAAATAGATCTCCTGATCACTCACAAGGGAAACAAACGTGTTGTCAACAAGTAGTAAGTCAGTAAGTAAACGTGGCATCCGGCATTTTCCGTTACAGAAAACAATTTGCTTGAATTCAGCTGTGCAAAGTAATCAGCTTTGCATAAAACCATTTATCCATCCATCTTCTAAATACTTATCCAGGTCAGGGTTACAGGTGTGTGAAAATATTTGTTTACCAAATAACCAGAGAAAGAAATGAAACACTGTTAAAATTTTAAGCAGGACATATTTTTAAAACTCTCCTGGAGCCGACATCTTATCGTCGTGGAGGGGTTTGCGTGTTTCAATGATCCCAGGAGCTAAGTTGCCCAGGGCTTCATGCCCCTGGTTGGGTCACCGAAGGCAAACAGGTCCTGGGTGAGGAACCAGATGAAGTGCGACTCATTAGACTCCTTATCATGACAAACAAGATAGATTCACGTTTTCCCTCGCCCGGACCCAAGTCACCAGGGCCCCCTCTAGAGCCAAGCCTGGAGGTGGGGCTCGATGGCGAGCGCTTGGTGGCCAGATCTGCACCCATGGGACCTGGTCGGGCACAGCCCTCCAATGGGCTCACCACCTGTAGGAGGGGCCAAAGGGGTCGGGTACAGTGTGAGTTGGGCAGTGGCCGAAGGCGGGGACCTTGGCGGTCTGATCCTCAGGTGCAGAAGCTGGCTCTAGGGACATGGAATGTCACCTCTCTGGTGGGGGAGGAGCCTGAGCTGGTGCACGAGGTTGTGAGGTTCCGACTGGATATAGTCGGGCTCACCTCGACGCACGGCTTGGGCTCTGGAACTAGTCTCCTTGAGGGGGGTTGAACCCCCTTCCACTCTGGAGTTGCTCACGGGGAGAGGCGCCGACCAGGGGTAGGCATACTTATTGCCCCCTGGTTGGGCACCTGCACATTGGGGTTTACCGTGGTGCACGAGAGCCTCCCTTCACCTTCGGGTGGGGGGACGGATCCTGACTGTAGTTTGTGCTTATGCGCCAAACGACAGTTCAGAGTGTATGGGTTAAATAAGCTGGGTCTTTCTGGAGCCTGTGTTTTTTGAGTATGCCATGCCAGTAGAGGGCGCTCATGTATGTTAGCGATAAAGTTCTGCACTTGTTGATGTAATGAGAGCGACTACGTGCGTGTGTGGGAATTTTCGGTATGTACGGTTTGTAAGCTTAGTATTGAGGCATACAGTTTTTCTACCGTGATTAATATAACAATATACTGCTGTGTCATTGTTCATCTGGGGATTTTGTCTGCACTTGTGGTCATCGTGCAACTATGGATTACGTTTTCACCTATGGATTAAACAGTGCACATTACTTACTGGTATGAATCAAGGACTTTTAATTCACGCGTAGTACAATTCATATACTAAGCGAAACGGACCTTACACAGAGTACCCGCCCTTTTTGGAGTCCTTGGAAGGCGTGTTGGAGAGCGCTTCTCCTGGGGACTCTCTTGTTCTTCTGGGGGACTTCAATGCTCATGTGGGCAATGACAGTGAGACCTGGAGGGGCGTGATTGGGAAGAATGCCCCCCCGATCTGAACCCGAGTGGTGTTTTCTTATTGGACTTCTGTGCTCGTCATGGATTGTCTATAATGAACACTATGTTCAAGCATAAGGGTGTCCATATGTGTACTTGGCACCAGGACACCCTTGGTTGCAGTTCAATAATCGACTTTGTGATTGTGTCATCAGACTTGCGGCTGCATGTATTGGACACTCAGGTGAGGAGAGGGGCGGAGTTGTCAACCGATCACCACCTGGTGGTGGGTTGGCTCCGCTGGTGGGGGAGGAAGCTGGTCAGACCTGGCAGACCCAAGCGTATAGTGCGGGAAGGAGCTTCAACTCCTACCTCCAGCAGAACTTCACCCATGTCCTGGGGGAGGTGGGGGACATTGAGTCCAAATGGGCCATGTTCCGCGCCTCCATTGTGGAGGCGGCTGACCGGAGCTGTGGCCGTAAGGTGGTCGGTGCCTGACGCGGCGGCAATCCCCGAGGAGGGATGCCGTCAAGCTGAAGAAGGAGTCCTATCGGGCCTTTTTAGCCTGTGGGACTCCGGAGGCAGCTGATGAGTACCGGCAGACCAAGAGGAATGCGGCTTCGG